GACCATGGGTGCTGCGTACGAACAAGGCTATTTCCTAACCTCATGTTGCTTATAATCTATTCAGGGAATGATAGTGCTCCAGATAATACAATACTATTTAAGCACAAAGTTGAGTGAAATAAATATAAAATCTTCAGATCATGGATCTGCAACTCATCTGACACAGAACTTGGACTGGCACTATAACTGGATAAATGCTTGGAAAATAAATGATTGAAAGGATGAATTATGATGGAATAATAAGTAATGAGGGTTTAAAGATGAATTGTTACTGGAAGTAAACTTTAAAAAAGGAATGAAGAAGGCAGGATGACAAGGGACATGTACTCCCAGTAAATGATCCAAAATTAATAGACATGGATTCATATGTAGAATGAAGACCAACCTGATTTGAATGTAATTGTGTTTATTTTGTTTCAACAAAATATACTACCATGGGTCAGACATGTTGGGCACTGATAATGTAGAAACAACCAAAAAACCCCATTGAGGTGTTCAAGATGTACCCTTTTTGAAATTAAGTGAAAAAACTTAGAAAATCCAAATTATAGTACCTTCAAAGTCTGAGCCAAGAGTTCAGGTTTCATATGATCTGATCAATTTAACACTGAAAACTGTTTTTCAATATCATAGAAACATAATGAGATAATGAAAATAATTTCTAAATAATCAAATGTTAAGATAGATAAGAAAACTATTACTGCCATCCCTACTTTAGATGTACAGTCAAGATTTCTTACATATTGTACCTGATTTTTGTCAATAGTGGCAGTTCTTGTTATAAAAACTTCACTTTTGAGAGTGTTCACTGTATCTGTTGGATACATACTTGTGTGTGAACTGTGCAGTTGAGGACAATAACTAGGGTTTCAAAAAGGAGACATAGGCTTGCAAGTAAGCCCGTAATGATGCCACTCAGTTACCTTAATAGGTGTGGAAGAATAAGGCAAAGCTTTTTTATTTCAATCAGAAATTTCACCCACTTGATGCAATCTGTCCTTTCAATGTATACTTGCTTTTAGTCAACCAAGATTGGTAAAATCACTTGCTGTAATTAATTCTGAGACTGCTTCAGTTTTTTCCTCTAAATTATATATGAAAAGAACTGGACATGGTGGCACAGTGACCTGGAGGCTGAGGCAGGAAGATCACAGGTTCAAAGTCAGCCTTGGGAGTACTCCTTAGGGAGGCCCTAAGCAACTTAATGAGACCCTGTCTCATAATTTTAAAATGAAATAAAAGGGCTGGGGATGTGGCTCAGTAGTTAAATACCCCTGGGTTCAATCTCAGGTATAGGTGTGTGTGTGTGTTTGTGTGTGTGTGTGTGTGTGTGTATTTCCAGATTCCCAGGGAAGGACAATAAGGTTAGAAATGTTCGAGTATAGAAATTATTTTGAAAAAAAAAAAAAACCACAGAAAGCACTATTTTGGGGAAAGTCCATAGATTTGAATTAATCAAGTAAATTAGCTCATACCACCTAAACTGGTGACTTTTCTGGATTGTCACAAGTAAATACTATGAGATGGTAATAATTGGGGGTTATTTGGAGACAATGCCACAGTCCCCAGACTTACAATCTCATATTAGCTCACCCTGTCTGTGCCTGATTTTTGTCCCTGTGCCTGGCATTAGCAGGTACTCAAGAGCATGTGGCATTATCACAATATTGGTAGTGTTAGGGAAAGACATGGCAAATTAGGGAAATTTACAGATGGGCCTGATACTCCAGATTATCAGCACACTTGTGTTGTTGTAAAATAAAACACTCTCCAACTGTTCCCCTAGCTCTTTTGCTTTACTACTCAAGAAAAGTAGGTTTCATGGGGTATATTTTATGCCCAAATATGACAGTGATTTTTTCTTCTTTTTATTAATCAAAGATGAGGTGACTTCATACTTAAAATATTAATCTACAAAGCAGTAATTATTTAAAATTAAAGACTTATTTATTTCCCCATTTCCTAATTTCTAGTGGGGTGTAACTGAAATTTGGTATGATTTCTTTTATTCCTTAAAAGTATAGCTAAAGGTGGGTATGATTTATTTTTTTTATTTTGTAAATTTGCTTTTTTTCATGTGAACAAAAATTTTAATGTCATTAAACCAAAAATTAAAAAAAACACCTTGATTAGACTCATTCTACAAACTCAAGTTTGCATCAAAATAAACCATTATCCATGAAAGTAGAGGAAAACCTAATGCAGTGATTTAGGAGTGGCCATGACATATAGGTCTTCAATTGCTCCGAAGGTGTTTCATTTTCTTAGCTTGTTGATCATGAGGTTCTCAGTCCATAATGCCAGGCTCAGAAAATGTTCCTCACCCAATTGGTGAGGTTGCCCAAACACTTTGATCTCAACTAGGTTCTAGACCATCATGTCTACCCTCAACAAGGCCTATCTCACCCACTCCATTTCCACAATTATAGTTCAGTTTGGGCCAAAGATCACCTCCACCAGCTACACCTCCAGGTGTAACACCAAAGAATTGATCACTAATTGTGCAGATAACCACCACAGCCAGGCATTGGGCTGCCCAAAGAGCATGCTCCAAGCAACTCCCTCCAACTTCCTCTAGACCCCAGATGTGATTTAGTTTTAGTTATTTCAAAGAAGCAATAGATTTCCCTTCACGTCTAAGTAACCTGAAGGTGCATTTTCTTGACCCCTTTCTTTTGTCCATCTTCAATATTGCTAAGGCTTAAAAAAATATATCAGGCAGAGAAATTGATTTGAATCTATGAAATTCACGTTATTTTGTCTGTAAGTCTTCATGGTAGACCAGTTCAACAAGAGAATGTTGGCTTTGCATTCTGTGACAAAATTCAGTTCTGTGCCATACTTTTGACTAGAGTTTGTATAACCAATAACATAAGAAAATTGAATTTTGATCCATGGAAACAAATGTGTCACAATTTGACAGTGTAGTTGAGTGTATCCTCTTTTATATCTCTGAAACATAAACATGGTAACTCTTCCTGTTGCTGTTTGCTTTGCCTTCAACCAAAATAAAGGAACTGCTCCATTGAATAGTGGTTTCCTTGAGAGTAGTCATCACAGATATAGCTGCTGGCAGGACTGATCAGGGTCTTCATTGGTCACTCTTCATAGCTGCCAGCTGCAGTTTTCTTAGCAAGTTCAGGGAGAAGAACATGGATTCTCAGATGACAAGGAGTCACTAATTCTCTACACACTACTTTTTTCTTCTCTTACGTCTTCAGGAATTCATCTAAAGCTGACATGTAAGAGGAAATCTCTAATACTGTCTGTTTCTGTTAGAAAAACTATGAGCATGTACAGACTGCTTTTCCCTATCATCTTGTCTCCTCACATCTGATGGATGTGGCATTTTAAATGGAGGGCTTTACTTTAAATTCTGAGTCTCCTTTCATAACTGATGTCAAATAAGTTAACATGGAGAAAAATCCTCTAGTAAATAATCTGTATGTAGTTATTACTTTTCTTTTGTGAAAATAATTTGTGTTTTTCACTTTTGGATTACACATTATTTTAGATTTCATAGGGAGAGTTTTGCTATAAAATATCCTGCATTTTAAATACTATTTAATTATGATTTTCTTCCTTGGGGAGTATATCATGTGATTTAATTTGGTATATACCCTCAGGGGGAGCATATTTCAATTATAAAATGTTTCCTCCAGAAACAATAATGGTTCAATGATTTATTTCAGGAAGCTATTATAACATGGCTTATCCAAGTGGAATTTGAATGCCATCAAATTTAAGCATATAGTATAGGTATCCCCAAATACATGAAAAATGAATATGAGTGCTTTCGTGCTCACACACAGAAATCATATTTGTGTTATTTTCAGCCTTCGCTACTACTTCAATTATCATATCTTGAAAAAGAACTTAGAAAGCTGAGGGCTATGAAACATTTATATTATTATCTCTTCAAAAAGTTCATTTTTGGACAAGTATCATTTGGATGGGGATTAACTTAATCAGAGATTTTGAATCTTCTTTAATTTTAATCTCTTTTTTTTCAAAAAAAAAAAGTCTGAATCTTTAAAAGACCTAAACCTGTAGTCACAAAGCACTGCTTCAAAAAAAGGGGAAAAAAGAGAAAAAAAAATAAAAAGAAGGAGAAGAAGGAAAGTTTTTAAAGCAGCCAGCGGCTGTAAGAGAGATAGTGCAGGCAGCAGATTTGTGACAGAGTGGAGCATGAAACCCATCAGCTGATGAGTGAAAATCCCTGGTTTCTAATTAATCGAGGTACACAGGCCAAGGGATGAAGAGGATCAGGGAAATGAAATCAGGAAAAAGATACCATCAGTCATTTCTGCGGCCCATTGTCATACTTCAGAATCTGCTGTAATGAATCACTCAGGCATTCCACAGATACATTCAAATGGTGAAGAAAATTCATTGTCCAGTGAAGAGTGCTTGATAAAAATCTTTCTTTCCCCCCCCTCTTTGTCAGAAGCCTATGATCAGAAAAGGAAATCCAGACAGCACAACAGGTGTGCTTTTTGCAAGCCTGGTGAAATCTGCAAATGAGCCAAGTATGGAAGAAATTTTTGTACTAATTTTTCCCTACAAAAATGTGTGTGGAGAGGTTGGTGGGATGAAGCATCAGATGAAGGGGAACTTGTCACGAAAAAGGATATCAAAGAAATGGAAGGTTAAGAGAGGAGGAGGTGGGAGTCCCTTCCTGTGGATGAAAAATGTTCCCATAAAATCTCAACTCAGGAAATAAGGGACAACAGGGAGGATGTAGGAATAGTTTAGTTAATTGAACTTATAAAGGGGCGATGTTTCCTTCGAAGGACAACTTACTCACTGAAGAAAACATTTTACATTACATCCTGGCCCTGATCAAAAAAGAGATCACTCATCCCCAAAGCCAGATGTCTGGGGTTGGGCCCACAGGGCTTCTGGGGTTACTCAGAGAAAGGGTCTCACATAAAGTCAGTGACACTCACCTGGGATAAACGTATATTTTAGCCTGAAGGTTTTGTTCAATGGTCTCTTAATTCACGATTGTGCTCCTCCTGAATTGTAGCTCACATTCGTGGTGGTTGTGTAATTTAACTGAGAAAATATTCATCGTGGCACCTAGACACACTATCTGTGCATTCCAACTCTGCGGCAACTTTGTGACCCAGAACAATCCCTGGGAGCAGGTCCAAGTGTTGTCTGGCATTAGGTGACATGCAAAGATAATTGTTTTCAAATAATCAGGTACTATACTGAGACATATAAGGATGGCTGATTCATTTCAAATTTAATTACTATAATATAGGGTTTCGCTGTCTATATTATCAATCACTAAGACACTTTGGAGTTGATAATATTAAAATTGCAACAATAATGAGAATTCTACTTCATGATGAAAATAATTTTAATCACGGGTAGATTACAAATCCATTTACAGTTACGGTTACTGAGAATTCTATTATCTACCTTCTCTTGTAAAAGATGTTAAGACATGTTTTCAGGAAGTATAAAAGATTATAGAAGTATGCTATGTCTGTAAAGTTCTGAGCACAGGCTTTTGGAAAAACCTTAAGAAAGCTTCCAAATTGTCAAGACTTAGGGGATATAATGTAGGGCAGAGGAGGTTGCTGTGATTACAGATGGTCATAAAACTCTCTTTCTGGCTTCTGTTCACTTTATTCTCTCAGTAAATAAATAAATAAATATTTATTTATTTATTTATTTCTGAGAGCCAATAGGCTCTGTGCTAGGTGCTGGGTACACCTAGAAGACAACAAGCAGCATGACTTTTGCCCCATGGCCCTTACAGTTTGGTTTGCACTGAAAACTGCTCTAATCTTGAGGATGTTTTGGGTTTTCAATGCATTTCAGTTAAATTCATTGGAGGGCAGTGGATGAGCCTAGGCACATTGGTTCTTGACTGGTTGCATTTTAGAATCATGTAGGAAGTTAAAGATCTCTCTCCACTGCTATCTCTACCTCCATCCTTGTCTGTCTATAACAACTGTTTCTCTATTTTTGTGCAACTCTAATTCTTAGAGTTTTTGTCTAGGGTATGGTTCAGGCACAAGTGTTTTTTAAAAAGTTCCCCAGAGGTGGAAAAACAATGGACCATCCATTCAGAGCAGCATCTGCAGAAACACTGCTCTGGATACTAAGTGAGATGATTCTTTGCGTGTCTTGTAAGTCTTTGGGAAACCATTTTCTAGTATCTGTTTTGACTTGAAATAGCTTTTTACATTTTCAATCCTAGAAGACTATTAATTCCTCAGGATCCCAAATTAAAGAAATATATTTTGCAAAGAATATATAGCTTCATATAATCCTTTATGCCAAATTTAGCTAGCTTTGACTTGATCTCCTCTTCTATAATAAAAAAAAAAACAACTTCATATTTGGTGTGTTAATTGGTCCTATCAAGAGTGACTCATTGCTTCTTCTTGGTTATTAAACATCTTGCAAATAAGAATTTCAAATGGGCAGGGTTTATTATACTAGGAATACACTTCAAAAGCATAAATATACACTCCTATTATCTGTCAATTAAAACTAAATAAATTGTTTAAAAATCTTGTGATGAGAAAGAAGGTGAGATTGTGGAATAGAGCTAAAGGATGACTATTCATCAGTTGATAATTATGAAGCTGAGAAATGGGTATATGGGAGTTTATTTTACTATTTTCTTTGCTTTTTATATAGACTTGCAATTTTTCTCAAATTTCAAGAATAAATTATTTGTTAAATAGCTTTTAGCTATGGCTTTAAAAAATACAGAGAGGAAACTGAATCAAAGAGATACAAAATGTGTTGGAGGTGGTAGGAATTCAATGGTAATGAATGGTCAGATCATCCCAGTTGTATTCCCCTAGTTGTTGGGCTAGGCTCCAAGGTCAGTTGTGAATTATACCCTACTCTACAGAATCTGCAGTGCCTTTCTGAATTTAAACATTTCTTGGTGTAAGGAGACACACTTGAATGATTTCTCTATATCCGTCGTTTGTATATTTAATTCTAATAGAATATATTTTATGCATGCATTTACAAAATAAACAAAAAATTATAATTTCTACTGTCATAATTCTAATTCTCTTTTCTCTATATTCTTTATTCTCTTTTTCTCTCTTTATTGGGATTTTTCTACTTTTCTTCACCCTTAATCCCTACCACCACTTTAGTGTGTTTTTCTTATTTATTTTCTCTCCATTCTCAGAAACGAACAAAGTCACTAATCACAAATATCTCCAATTACTGATTTATTTACTCAGTTTTGGTTTTCTATAGTATTCATATGTGCTAGAATATGTGTGTGTCCATATGCATAGTCATGTAAATAATTAGTTTTAAAAATCAGTCTATTACTGTCACTGTCATTGAAAACATTCCCACAAGCGTGTAAACTGCGCCCCACACTGGTTCCCTGCTTTGGTGGAACTCTATGAATAAATTACATTTCTAGAGTCTGCCAGCTTTCTAATTCCAGTTTACTGCACTTTGGAACAACATCTTTCCTTCATATGTTGCATAATTTTTGTCTTTCCAGATTTATTTTCATCTTTCTGTTTCTGTAGCTCACCAGTAACTTTGCCGGAAGAAATGGTCTCTCTTCACGGCCAGAGTTTCTGGGGGTTTATGTCTGTAATTAGGTCAAATTACTTGGTTGGCAATTAAAACAGAAAAAAAAAACTACTTCAATGGCATTCAATCAGGAGTATCATTATTTAACATACGTGTTTGCATTCTAATTCTTAGAATTGGGAGACACATGGATACAAACGTTAAGATTTAATTTTAGTTTCTTTTAAGCAATGAACTAGGTTTAGTATAGTGTCTTTGGGCTTCTAGAGAAATACAAAGCACTGAGCTATCGGATTTTATAGTGACAATATAGAATTCCGAATTCTGATTTGAAGGCAAAACATCTCAATAATTAATTGTATACCCTTGAATTTATAAAATGAGTTGGCAAAGGAAATAGGTGCAAAAAGTTGTAAAGAGGAGAAATCAATTGAGAAGATAGCATGGCCCACCATTTTAATCCAGTCACTTTGCAAAATGAAGGCTGTTTGGACATGTTTCATCAAAAATGAAATTGACCAGATAGTCCACAGGTGATCAGTTCCAAAGTCTCCCCCAGAGTCAGCCCTTCAAATATTTATCATATATGTATGTATGTTTGCTTGGATCATGATAAGGTACCAATTTGGGATTTTTGGAAACCGAGCTAGAATGTCACCTGAGACATCGACTGATTTGGACTGTATTCAGAAGCAAAGTGCCTTGAGAGGCCAAAAGAGAAAGAGAGGGTGAGCAAGAGAGCAAGCAGGAATGGACAGCCCGTGTTGCCAGCTCTAATATCCCAGTGCAATTATTTTGTGGACATCCACTCCTTGCCTGCACAGGAGATAGGGCTATAAGTGTATGTTATTTTTTAATTACAAGGGGGGTAGAAAAAATCCTGATGATGGGCTGGAAGGTGCCATTGCATTGTTATTTTTTCCTCTCCCTTCGTTTGCTGATTATGTGAGCCGGGCTCCTTTGCTAGCCGATGATAAGCAGAATTTCCATGTTCTCTGCATAATTAATCCATCTCTGCCTCTCTTCATGCCAACTCGCCCGTTATCGCCGGCACATGCCTGAATTGCAAAAGAATCCGCTCTTCAATTGGAACTTATTGATATTCTAAGAAAAAAAAAGAGAGAAGGGGGAAAAAACTGAAAATCCTTAAGTTTAAGCCGCAGATTTTTAAATGGATTAATTTCGCTGCAATCGCAGCCATCTAAGGCGGGAAGGCAGGCAGAGCAAATTGAAAGCGTCTCCATGTTTGCAGAATTGGGTCCAGAACGCTGAAATGTACTGGCATGGCTCTCTTTTAAAGTCAGAAAATTACCATTCATTTACATCACATGAAATACTTTTTTATGCTAGAAATATTCAAGAGACGTTCTTTAAATGCCTGCTAATGCTTGATAACATTTCTAACTTTCAACGTTTTGCTAGACTTTGATATGACATGATAGCAAAGCCTTCCAGTAGAGAATATTATATCTCTCTTTATCACATATTAGATTACATCATCTTTTTCTTAATCATTCCCAACTAGTCTTTAAACAATGAAGTCTGTCATTGGCTGTGTAGGATTTTGTGTGCTGACGGACGTCAAGGTTAGTCATTTATTTTTCAAGTCCACTTACAAATGAAATGTTTGTTTTTGTTTAATTTTTCTTCTTCCAATACCTAGAGACTTTGGACAATGATAAAAACAATATAATAAGTACATAATATTTCCTCAGTCATCATTGTTTTGACTATTTTTCCTTACAATAAACTCTTATTTTTGAGAGACTTAATTCCTGCTCATTTTCACTTGTGAATAGTTACACTTTGAAATCTCCCTCGATTCAGAAAAGGGTCAGTAGTTGGACATTCTACAAAGCATGCAGTTCAAGAATCACAAATACAGAGACTTCTAGTTCTGGGACACTTGCAGTCTCCAAATAGAATTCATAAATCTTGCTCAGTTGTCTTATGCTTTATTTTTTTGGTCTTGAAATACAATGTATGCTAATTTCCTGACTCCTGGAAGCAAGATGTTGAAGGTCTCCCAAATACTCTAGTTGAGCATTAGCAGAGCTGTATCCCCGTGGTTAGCTGCTCACAAACCTGTAGTTTGGCTGGTCTGCACGGGAAGGCTGGTGTGCTCTTGGCTTACAGAGCAGAGTGGCTCATGTCAACCAGGAAAGAAAACGTGAATTACTGTAGGTAAAAATGTTCATCATTAAGTACTTTCTGTACAGTTTGAATTCAGTAGAACTTGAAAGGGAAAAATAGTCATAATTTTTAAATTACCAACTTAGTTGGGCGGCACATTTCCCGGAAAAAAATTATACAATAAGCAGTGGTATTCTTTGGAGAGATTTGTTTCAGTTATGAAGCAAGGATCTTCGTAACTGTAGGCCACCTAAACATGCAATACTGGCATCTGGTATAAAGGTGTGTATTATTAGTGAGTGACTTAAATATTAATATTGTATTTTTTTTCTCAGAAGTAAACTAAAATGAACAGAGAGGTGAGAAACACATTTAAGATGAAAATGTTTTTATAGTCACAGAAAAATAATTAAGAGTGATGACTATTATAAACATAGGGACAATTAAATGACACAATTTTAACTTAACCACTTTAATTATAGAATCTTACATAATTCTTAGGCTACCTACAGCTTGGAAATCGAGTAAACTGCTAGCTGCACATTGAATAATTTTGTATAGTCAGCTAAATACTTTAAAGCAATTTTAAAAAATGAAATGAAAAATGACCCTTCTTAAAATAGATGTAGCAAAAACATTTCAATCATAAATAACAATTTCACTGACCTTGTATACTCAACCCTTTCATTTAAAGGCATGAATAAAAGGACTTGAAAATCACAGGTGTGTATGGGGAGAGGAATCTTCTCCTGGGTATTCTGTTTTGAAAGGAAAAATTGGGATTTAAAACTCAAATATGTGCTGTAGCATGCATTTAGTTCATATTTTGAACATTCTATAACATCATTATAAATATATTAATTAGTAATTTATGAGTTTTCATTAAAAATGTTATATTTCTGCTCTTAACTCATTGCAATTTTTTTCTGTAATTAATAGTTGCAACTTAGTCCATATAGTTTAATGCAATTTTTTCCTTCTGAAATGTGTTATGCTGGTTTTACTCTTATATTCTAAATTCACTCAGTATTTTAAATGAATGTAAGGTATCGCATTCCTAATTATTACCATATGTGCAGATCAGAGCAAGAAGAGTGATGCAAATGGTTTCGAGATGTTCTGTGTCAGATGACAGCCTAAATCAAACAGCAGTGATTCACTATGAAGTGGTGACGGCGAATACGATATGAATTAGCTATTTCACTGAAAAAGCTAAGACACTGACGTGGGTTCATAAATGATGAACTGACTTGTAATAGAAACAATTGAATGGGATTTTTTTCTTTCTTTTAAATTTAAGGATGAATTGAAAAGTGAAATAGGCTATTACAAATGATTTTCTTGGTGTCAAAAATTACTAAATAGTTCTCTTTTTTGACATTAGGAAAATGAGTGACAGCCCTTTATTTGCATTGTGCATGATGGACGGATCCCTTCATACTCTCCCTTCTCCTTCCTCTTTTCTTTGTAATTGGATGGAATTGAACTATTTACCCCCTTTAAGTTGGCTTTTTGCTCATCAGATGCCTCCATCTTTTAAAACTTAAAGCTCTCCTCTGCTCCAATAGCTACCTTATCATTTACATCTTCTTTAAAGATGTTAAGATATCCTCCTGTACATCTTCAAAAATGAAATGAAATGAAATCTTTAAGCTTTTTTTTTTTTTTAATCTCCCATCTTTTCTTGCCCTAAATCCTAGGGGTTTAAACTCACTCAGTCCTGGAGGAAACTTTACATAGTAGAACACCTTTCCCTTTTCTGCTCAGTCCTCTTGGGTCAGGTGGTTCTTGTGATAAGGAAAAAGGTTTAAAGAGCCTTTAATCTTTCATGTTTTGTGCTCAGATTCTCCTATATAATTGTTCCTCAGTCCAGCTTCTCATGAACTATCACCATGGGTCACTGAATATTGGCATCCATCAATTGAAATGTGGCCACTCAGAATCTTCTATTTATCTTTATACTACTCTGGGCAATGAAGAGAGATTGAAATTTTGTGACTTGCCTAAATCTGTGAAGTAGTTTTTTTTTTTTTCCTTAGCAACAGTTCTCTGTCACATCTCCAAAGTTTGTTTAGCTTTAACAAAATATGTTCTATAGTATCTAGTTATTCTTTCATATGAACCTAGAGTTCACTTCTGTAAATAAGCCTAAAGATATTTCCACATTGATATTACTAAACTGTAACCCCATATCTTTAATTGATATGACGTAGTTGGGATTTTACAGATAAAGTAAAGACATCAGTATCTTAAAATAGTTGACTCTCAATCCCTCAGGGAACATCAAGTTGTGCTTTAAAGAGGGAAATGGAAGGAAAGGTCCTTCTCGGATACCTGACTGAAAATAGTGCTTAAAACAATTATGGTTCCCCATCCTTAAAATTTTCCTAGAAAATATTCTATAGCTGCCTCGATATTAACTATAGTCTTTATTAACCAAAGGAATTTAGGTGTTTTTTTTTAATTATTAAGGAAACAGACAAAAGAAAAGACAGCTGTTGTGTCTAATTCTGACTGATCACTTATCCTCTTTATGACAATAATAATGGGACCTTAATTTCCTCATTTGTTATAATTAGAACAATAATACCTATATCAAAGAGTTGTTATGATCATAAACGTATGAAAACACTTAGCGTATTTCCTGAAGCAGAGGCAATGTCATGTAGTTAGTATTCTTATATTCTGCCACTTGGTTATTAATTTATATGAGACAAACACTGGAAAGAAGAGAGACAGATGAATAGAGAGTGTGTGTGTGTGTGTGTGTGTGTGTGTGTGTGTGTTCTCTTTCTCATATGTATCAGGTATTTCTATTCAAACATTGGTTAGAAATGACAAATTTTGTTGCATTTTTTCAGGTACTTCAGAAAAAATCATTGTACTCTTCTAAAATAATCTCACCATATTTAACATAAGTCTTACATAAGATAAAAAGGATTTGAGGAAAAATAAGAATTTGTTCATACTGCTGCTTTCATATAGGAAAATCTTCAGCAATCTGAGTTTTCTGAGTCTTCTGTTTCTCAATTTGTAAACTCTTTAGCAGAATATTGGAATGAGGGATGAAAATTGCGATTTTAGAGTACATTTGTCCCCAGGTATCTACCAGAAATTCATTCCAGAATCCCCCATGGTTACCAAAATCAGCGGATGCTAAAGACTTTTATGTGAAGTGGTATAGTATTTGCAAGTAACCCGCACACCTCTCCTAGAGGCCTTAGGTTGTCTCTAGACTACGCATATCTTACTCAATGTAAATGCTATGCAAAGAGTTATTATACTGTTTATAGTATAATGATAAGAAAAAATGTCTGCATGGGTTCAGTATAGTCTTAATTTTGTTTTCAAATATTTTGAATCTACAGTTGGTTGAATCATAGAAGCAGAACCCAGGGATAAGGAGGGTAGACGTTATAGGTAAATAGACAATTTGAACCACATATATTTTATGAATCTGATTTTCATAGCTAGGGTAAATCATTAAAGAAAATAATTTAATCTAGTGAATGTTTATTAAAAAGTCTCACTACAATAAGTCAAGAATTAAAATATGTTTAATCATGTAATTTCCTAAAATATTGCTTGATACCATTTTTCCTTTTGAATTAGAAACAAAGGCACAATTAAAACATGCTATTTGGTTTTAATTTTTATAATTGAAAGATTTTTTAAATTGCATATATTTGTGAGGTGTGACATGTTTTTAAATAAGTATGTTTTGTGGAATGGAACATTAAGGTAAATAGCATGCATTACTTTATATACTTATTTTTTTATGCTAAGAACATTTAAAATCTCTTAGTAATTTTCCAAAGTCACCATGATGGACAACAGGCCTCTTGAATTTATTCCTCATGTCCAACTGAAATTCTGCACCCTTCACCCAATACTTTCTCCTCAAGCTTCAGGTGCCCACCATTCTCCTTCTATCAGTCCTACTTTTTAAAAGTCCACAGATAAGTAATATAAAATACTTGTATTTCTATTCCTGGCTTATTTCACTTAACATTGTGTCCTCCAGGCTCATCCATGTTACTAAAAATGACAGGATTTCCTTATTTTTTCAGGTGGAATACTATCCCTTTGTGAATATATACCACATCTTCTTTATCCATTCCAAGTTGATGCTTTTATTTGTAAATACTTGATTCACATGCACTGAGGAGCTTATTAAAGAAATGATCACATGAGATTCTTTTCAATTCTTGGATAGCATCATTGTTTTTATAATGAATTATATCTCGTGTTATTAGTTTTTATGGATCAGTTTACCATAAACATCGATTACTTTCATAGAAACCTTCCAGTATTATGATTTGCATCCAAAACCACTATCATCTTAAAAAATGTGTAACCATGATAGATTCCTAATTTTAAATATTTATTTTAATAAAATAGTTATAATGCTAATACATGTGTTTAATGAGCACCTATCATGTATAAATACCATGTGTATTTGTAATCTAATTATAACACAAAGAAGGTAATAACTTCCAAATCCCATGAGAATGCAAATTAATTCCAACTTGAATACTATGCATTGGTCTTAAATGTTGTAGAATTTGCATTTTGCTATCACTTTACTCTCTAAATGTCTCTGGCTCTGTTGAGTGTTACTCCAAATAAGCAGACTACCATTACTATTTGGAAATTTCCTTGGTCTATCCAAGAGCATCATCACAAGTCCATTGTGACAATGAAATTTGGTCAGGATGAACAAACAGAAATATCTATTCTGTGTTGAGGGAAGCACAAAATAAAGAGAGGACTCTGGATAGCAGGCAGGCATTATGCAAGTATGGGAAAGGTACATTTTTATTTTGTTCTGATTTTATAAAGAAAAAAGAGCCATGCAGATGCATAGGAGTGAGCCTACGAGTGCAGCGAGGGAGAACCATCACAGGAATGGGATATATTTTCTTTTAGTAGAAACTCAAACACATTTTGGAAACTTGGGTAAAGGAGAAAATAGAAACATAGAAGACCATGTTTAGAAGAAAAAGAAAGGGAGCAGGAGATTTGAAGAAATTATTTTGACATTTGAATCCAGAATGGAATAGAGATAAAGGCTGAGGGTGGGGATCTGTCAGACTGAGTACACAGAGGGAAATCTGTACTAGAACCAGGAGGCACTGCTTCTCAGAGAGGTCATTTGATGAAAGATGCCACAGCAGAGCAGGTGTGTGAGGGCACAGATTTTTATTTTATTTAAGTGATAACTAAAATTATAAATTAGTCTTTCAGACTAAATATAAGTGTATAATTTCCTAAAATTAAAATGAGAAAAGTAAACACACGTAAACTCATCTTACAGATGAAAAATGAATCTTGGTATTGTAATTTATTTGTATGTTGCAAAGTTGAAAAAATAAGTCCGGGTGTTAGGAAAATAATTCTATGACATAGACTGATAGCATATTGCTGTAATTAAAGAGAAATAAATGAGCATATATTCATGGTGAGGTTTTATTTAAATTTTTTATCCCTATAAATAATAAACCTATGGAAATGATTTATACAAAAATCCACTTTACAAACTTTTGCTCTTTCATAATTTTCCCCCAACTTTTCCCCTAAAAATTTTTTTTTAATGTTCCTCTGTGCTTTCCATGATCAGTTGTTAGATTAAAACCATGGTTTCACTGTAGGGAATCTAGTGCCAACTGCTTGGTTCAAATCTCAGCTGCACTGCCATCCATCTGCTGTGTGATACCAGGAAGGTTACTTTTCTCTCTGTGCTTCAATTTCTTCATCTGAATTTTAGAGATAACAATAGCAATTAGAATGGGGTCTGGTGGAAACCAATGACTTAATATTAGTTTTTGTTATTAGTCTTTTTCTTAAAAATTTCAAGTTCTTCCAATAAATGCTAATGGAAGTTTTGAGTGTGTGTGGAGGGGGGGGTGTATGCACGCATATCATCTTCTCCATCACTAAAGATCTACAGTTGAAGAAACAACTAGATATCTGCTAACAGGTTGGCACAGTTTTGAAACTTGCCTATTTTTTGAAGAGGGAAGGAGAAATGGGGTATACTCATGGTGCATTAATTGAAGTAATGCTGGTTGCTTCAACAATAAAAAAACTGTATGATGGCTCAAAGAAGAAAGAAGTTTATTTCTTAGTCATGTAAAATTTCTTTAACTGACGGTTCAAGTCTCCCAGTCTTTTAGTCCTGCAGCTGTATCATTTTTAACTCATGACTCTCAAAGTTACTCCATAGTGGAAGAAGAAAGAGCATGTAAAACCATGTACCAGTCCCATGCCTTTTGTCCATTTTTCCTTGACTATAACTTAGTTCCAGAGTGTCAGAGCTTCAAGGGAGGCAAGGAAATGTAGTTCAGCTGTGTGCATAGGAAGGAATAGGAAGGGACATGGCAGTCAGGAGTCAGCTCAGCCACACAGGTGTTTGCAGAGGGTATAATTGGATTATGCTAGGTACCACTAAGCACTGTGGTGATGGATGTTCATTATTTAATCATTCATTCATCTAATTATTTATTTAATTTTGGTACTGTAGATTGAGCCCAGAGGCACTTAATCACAGAGACACATCCCCAGCCCTTTTTTACTTTTTATTTTGAGACAGGATCTCACTAAGTAACCCAGGGCCTCACTAAATTGCTGAGACTGGCTTTGAACTTGCAATTCTCTGCCTTAGCCTCCTGAGTTGCTAGAATTACAGTCATGCGCCACCATGCCCATCTGGTGATGAATATTTAATAACAAGGCAATATACACACTTTCAGATGAAATAAGCATGTTACAAAGTAGAATGACATCATAATACAATTCATGTGTAAATAGATTACATACTTTATATACATAAGCATGTATATGTATTAGACATATGGGTATACACTATAAAGATGTTTATATTAGTGCCCAAGTTATAAAGATAAGGTATGATAGGATTAAATATTATAGTTCCTTTTTTTACTTTCCCAATTTCTAATCTGTCTATATTAGCATATATTATTTTAAAATAAAATTGTACTTAAAGCCAGGTGCTATGGTACACATCTTTAATTCCAGTGACTTGGGAGGCTTGGGCAGGAGAATCATAAATTGGGGACAGTTTGGGCAACAGTGAGATCTTGTCTCAAAATAAAAAGGGGCAGGGATACAAGGCAATGATAGAGTGTCCCTGGGTTTAATCTCCTATAATGCTAATAATAACAACAACAACAACAATTACTATATTATTATTATATACTTGCAAATCTAAATAGTATTTGTACTATTCAATTGTATCTTTTTAGGTTAAATCTTTTGTATTTTGTCCAAATATTTTTCTGTTCTGATTTAGCACCCTACATATTTTCATTCCATTCTAATACTGCTTTATTTGAGGTTCTCAAAGCACAGACACTGAACGGAGCAGGGTCTGTTTGTCATGAAACTGAAATTTATTTTTGATGAATCTCTGCTGATTCCAAATGAGCATTGTTTTCTTTACTAAATGTTTTTAAAACTAATTTAGTATTAAATCCTGGATTTTTTTTAAAGTATACAAATGAAACTTCCTGGTGTCTAATTTTACTCCTTACCAAAAAAAAAAAAAAAAAAAAAAGAAAGAGGGAAAGAAAGAGGGAAAGAAAGAAGGAAAGAGGAAAAGAAGAAAGAAAGAAAAAAGAAAAGAAAAAGTTGAATATGATTAAATGATCTTTGTTTATTTTCAGTCTTTCCAGTTCTGTCTCATGCTTACTCCAGGGCTTGGTACATATTAGGAACTCAGTTTACATACATTTAAATAAATGAATAAATGATGTTGATACCAATTCTCTAAGCAAAATACATACTTTCTTTTCTGTATTCATTTGGAACAAATATACATATTCGTAGTTTCCTAGAGTTTATTTCTCCACTTTGTCCCAACTGATAAATAAAAAGTTCCCAAAAGAGAAACTTGATTCAATATAACTGTGCTAACTTTGTGCCTGACTTGACGCTGTTCTAAATGATTTAAAGATATTTAGTTGCCTACCTTCCCAACCAACCCGAAGCATAGACATTCTTTACTATTCCTATTTTAAGAAGAGGTGCAGAGAATTTAGGTAATTTGCCGCCAATCACACAGGAGGTGGCAAAACCAAGGAGTCTGCAGGGCTCTTAATTACTTTATACAAATTCATACAAAGTGTTTAACATTATGTGGGCTACAGTGTAAGAGGGGCTGTTGTATTTATATGCACTGTCACACAACTAGGAAGTCAAAGAACTGGACTGGACTGTTGTTCCCTTTCTACAGTATTTATATGAAAATACAAATGATGTTAGTGGTGCAAAGCTTGTTCTTGATGAACCTCTGCTGGCTAAAAATGATCATTAGTTTCTTTCCTAAATGTTTTATGAACTAGTTTAATAGTAAACCCTGTTAATTTTTAAGGGCATAAAAATCAAGTTTCCCAGTGTCTAATTTTACCTTTAAAATACATTTCAATGGCATTTATTGTTTTTTGTTGTTGCTGGGGAGGTGCTAGGGACCAAACTCAGGGCCACCTGTATGCTAAACATGCACCCCTTCCACTGTGACCACAGAGTCACACAACAGGCCCTTCAGTGGTCTTGAGCTTGCTAGCTTCCCATCCACTGAAGTTTCCACAGAAATTACAAGCATTGGGATGCAGTTTTCCTGGTGAAGTTAATAGAACTCCTCACAACATCTTGGCACTTGGCTATCTCTTCATCTAGCTTAGTGTCAATTCCTGCAACCCTCTTATACTCTTCTTAGATTAAAAGTCCCTCTCTTTGATAGTTGGTGGGAGTAAAACAGAACTGTACTCACTTTCTACCATTTATTAATTTTGTATTTTCTGTTCTGTTTTGTTCAATCCTTTCCTTGTTGTTCTTGTTCAAGATACACATAAAAGGCGATTGTCATCGTTATTATCTTTAGCATTTTCGAAAGTTTCTTTACCTTCTCAATTCTAATTTCCAGAGGCAATCTTTAGTTGTCCATTCAACTTTCTGTGTTGATTCCTCTTATTCCATCTTTCAATACAAAATAAACTCCTCTCTAGAAAATCCACATATCATTGAAATATCTGCAAGGGAGAAAAGTTTGTTGTGGTATATTGATCGCTGTCTAGGGCCTAACCTCTTTTATTTCCTTTAAAGCAATTATTTTTGTAACACAATTTTCGATATCTAAAAGTTTGGGGGAAATAAAACCATCATATTATAGCATGTTATACAGATGGTAACAAATTAATTATTAGGGAATAGAGACAGCTTTCTATCTTTTTTTTTCTTTTTTTGATACTTTTCCATTTCTTTATTTCTGTGATATTGAGGTCCTTTGTATTTGTGATTTGATAGTTAGAATTTCTTTCATTTAGAATTTCCTAGTATTACTGACTTATCTTCATTTTCTGATACTGGCTGTGGAACAGTGTCTATAATTTTATCTGAACCGTCCAACTTTACTGAGTATTTTCCTAAGTATCGTGACCTTTAGGAAAACATACTAGTCTCTCTATGTTTTTGTTTTGTGAACCTCTCATCATGAATCATATTGGTTGAACAGTTTCTATAATCACCAGTTAGGACTTATTGCTGACAAGTAACCAAGATCTCAGCAAAAAATAAAATGAAATAATAAAGAGGGTTGAGGTTAGCATTAGGCATGGTTGGCTCTGTAGTCTCATATGCCATCATTGTAGACTTAGCCTCTTTTCATGGCCTTTCTCTACTTCCCTATCCAATTTCCATTCTCAATCAGGGATTTTTCAGGTAGAATAGAAGATGGCTACTGGTGTTACATAGCTTAATATAAAGAAAAAAAAATCAAAGTCCTCTTTCTTCATGTCCAAGACAACACTGATTAGTTCTTCTTTGTGCCAACTACTGTACACTGAGGAATGCATCTCTCTTCTTAACCAGACTGGGCATCACCTCATCCATGAAGCAAGCAGCTGAAGTACCATTAATGACAACCCAATCCAAAGTACTTGGGTCAAAATGTGTTAATTACACAAAAACAATAGTAGAAGGTTACCACCAAAATAGAGACAGAGTAAGAATGCTATGCGTGGGCTGGGGCTCAGGGTGAGTGCTTGCCTAGCATGTGTGAGGCACTGGGTTCAATCCTTAGCTCTACATAATAAAATAAAGGAATTGTTTCCATCTACAACTGCAAAAAATAAAATAAAAAGAATGCCGTGTATGCCCAGGTGACAAATATCTCCTTTACTCTTCTTGACTCTTTAATCTCCTAGTTGAGAGTTTAGCATGGCAAGTTTAAGTGCCTTGCTTTTTCAGCATGTGATTTCCATGTAAATTGCACTGGGTTCTGTCCCCACTACAAGGTAAGCATTTGGGCAAGCAATGGCTTACCCAAAATACAAGTTTCTTATGCCCTAAACACTGTTTTAAACTGTTCCAGTATTTTTATGTGTGTTAGAAAATGTCATTACTCTCCTGACCAAATAGTTCTCATAATTTATTTGTGTAACAAACCCACTCAAAACAAAATGGTCCAAAATAATCATGCTTATTTTGCTCAAAATGCTGCAATTTTTGCTAAGTATGGTGGCACACACCTGTAATCCCAGTGGCTCAGGAGGCTGAATCAGGATGATCATGAATTCAAAGCCAGCTTCAGCAATTTAGTGAGGCCCCAAGCATCTCAGCAAGATCCTGGGTCTACATAAAATATTTTTAAAAGGACTGGGGATGTGGCTCAGTGGTGAAGTGCCCCTGGATTCAATCCCTGGTACAAAAAACAAACAAACAAACAAAAAATCAAAAAAAAAAAAAACCCCAAAATCTCCAAATCTGCAATTTGTGTAAAGGTTTCTGATAGTACTCCATTTCTGCTCCCTTTGGCATTGTCCAGGGCAGTTTGAAAGCTGGTGAGTAGAATCACCTGAAGGCTTATCTTACTCACACATCTCCTGGTTGATGCTGGTTAGTGACTGAGACTTCAGCTGGAGCCATTGCCTGAATACTCACATTCGGCTTCTCCATGCAATCTGAGCTTCCTCACAACATGGTGGCTGGCCTCCAATGGTAAAAGTTCTGAGACAAAGACCAGGTGAGAGCTATTATCTTTTATACTTTAGCCTTGGATGCCATTCAGCATCACTTCTTCATTCTATTTATTGATCTACTCAATGACAAAGAGCAAGGTGAGAGGATGGCAAGGTTCTGGAAGGGTATGTGACTTTGACCATTTTTAGAAAATACAGTCTTCTACAATGATATATTTAGTAATGATAAGGTAACTTGCTCAAACTTCCTTGTCCTTTGATCTTCTTCCAAGGTCTATGTTTCATTCTTTGACAAAACTCCTCATCACTTATCTAATTCTTCAATAAATATGAAGTATATATTTTCTATTGTAAGATACAAAGGGATACAAATATGAGAAAAACTGAATAACTGACTTCAGAAATTTTATACTTAGTCTTTGTTTCCTCACATATAATCATTGCCATTTTTACTCTAAAAATAAATCTCTTCTGTAAGTACATGTCTCTTAGCAAATAGCACTTATGCATATTTCTCTCTATTGTCATAATAATATGCTAGTTAACATATAGTATTAACAGTGAAAAACCCAGATTTCTCTGTTCACTCTTTATCACGAACTGTGGGACCACCTAATTTGACTCAGAAATAAAGACTATCACTATGTGGCAATAGCCACATCTCAAAGGAATGTAATATCTGATAAACTATCAGATATGTTTTAGCTAATAGATATCAGATTTTTAATAGATATGGTGAAAAAATCATTTTTAAAGAGATTTTGATGGCTCTGTGAGAAATTTCCTAGAATAATATGCAATTCTTCCCTTTTAGCCCCCTTTCCAGAATTTTCTGCTACCAGTTATACTGCATTTTCAAAATCCTGTTTACTTAGGTGCTTCTATTTCTTCCCTCAAGAGTCACAACAAAAATCATAGGAGGGTCCTGAAAACAGTTCTATCCTTAGCAGTCCGTAAGTTTAACTATAATTTAGGACAATTATCAGGGTCACTACTATCACACTGAGTAACTTATTTTTTCTATTGCATGTATGTATATATGTAGTGCTGGGGATGAAACCCAGGGTCTTAAACATGCCAGGCAAGAGCTCTACTATGAAATACACCCCAGCCACCCATTCAGTACTTTAAAGCTAATCCCTGTGGGCCGACAAAACCTCATAGGACTAGAGAGGTACAAGCAGACTGACTTCCAGTCCACACTACCCCATCAAGCCAGCCAGACATGATCTCTCTGCTCCTTTGCCTGCCTGCACTGGTAGCAAGCACCCTGTGAGAGCTTTGGAGCTGTGAAGTGCTCCAGATGCAGTTCATAGGCAGGGATGGTATAGCCCCTGTTCTGAAGAACATGCTTTGGAAAATAATTTATGTCTTTCTAAGCCCTGAGCCAGCACAATGAGCAAAACTATCGGCTGAAAGGAAATCTTTTTTTTAAAACTATGTGTGCTGTAGAAAACAAAACAAAACAAAAAACAAACCCGAACATCAACAGAGAGGATAGAGCCAGAGTGCAGCCTTTGAGTGCCAGAGCTTGATGAATTCTGATTGGTCTATCTGCCCCTTTGGAGCACAGAGAACATAAAGCTGCTGTTTGGGATGAAGGGATCCATTACTAAGCAGATAATGGGCCAGAAAGAGAGAGAAGAAAAAATACTGACAATTGGGCAAATATAAAAAGAGGGAATTCTCAGAAGCTTAGGAGAAAACTAATAAGCAGGTTGTTTGTTCTAGGTCTTTGTGGACAAAACATGAGTACCCCTAATTCATTAAACAAATAAATATACAAGATGGCACAACTGTAGCCCCTTATTAAACTGTACAGTGTATTAGCAGATGTATTTGGAAAGGTGATGGGGAAGAAGCTATTTTGCCAATGAATTTCAACTTCAGAAATTATCTCTCTCTTAACTTCTAAAGGGCCCAATTCTCTATAAGTGATCTTATTTCAATTTTTACTTAGTAGCTTTTAAAAATTAACCACATTTCAGATTTTTAAGAGTGGTCTATATTGGAAAAATGGGGGGAAAAACCTAAATAGGCTAAATTTCAAAATTTTACATCGTGCAAATCTGATTTTTCTAAAGAATCCATTTAGTGCAGGGTCAGCCATTGAAGAATCAAATGGTCTGTCATCTAGTTTGACATTAAAAACCTTATGATTCTATCTTGAATAACAGTATTATAAATAAGATTCACTACTATATGAATGTCTCCTGTGTGCTAAATACAGTGCTATACATTTGTAATTTTATTTTTCATGAGAAATTTAGAGGTAGTTATTTCCAGTTTCAAACCAGCAAACCAAGCCATAGTGAGCCTAAGAAATTTACTCAGCCGGTAAGTAAAGAACTAAGATTACAACTCAGTTTGTTTTGAGCCCCAAATCCACATTCTCAGCCCATAAATGGATTCCCTTGCTGCACTGGGACTCCTTATTTCTGATACATGTACCTTGGTTTTAATATTTCACAGTCTTACTCAGTTTGAATAATTTTCAGGTCAAATTACCTACTGATGTGTAGCTAGTTTATTGAGGATTTCGAACTCAGTGGGGTATAAAATGATTTGATTCTTCTTAATCACTGCTTCCACTTGTACTCTGTGGAATTGCCATGTCCTGTGTTTTTAATGAAACCTCAGGCAGATTTCATAAATTTCTGGTCATTCTTGGTTACTAAAATTTAGTTCAATCCATTTTATAAATTTCCAATCCAAGTCAGAGTGTTGCCCCTGCTCCCACACTGATCAGATCTGTCACGAGAGGATGGGATTCTGGAGGAAGGCAGTTCTGCTTTCCTGCAACCCAGCCCAAACTAGCACACCCTTCTGTTTGGGGTCTGGCTCCTACACAGTTGGCTGTATGAAGGTGTTCTTTGCTTTGTTCTGGCTCTTTCAGATTCAGCTCAGAGCTGATGGGATGCGTAACTTTTTGAGATCCTCCAGCCCAGTTCAATCGCTGAAACCCCCCATAGGAAGGGGAAGCCTTTCGGAAAAAAATGCCAGCAGTTCCATTTGGCTGTCTCCTATCAGGTTGAGACAGTAGTTCCTGCGCACTATGGGCCCCTCCACCTGAAGCAATTGACTTTCTATGTGTCTACACAGAGCCTCAGGTCCTCAGCAGCAAGAATACATCAACTATCTTGCATCTTAGAACTGTCAAGATAGGGGACACAGGTGACTTTCTCAGGTATCTCTTCCCTTGAACAGAAATATCCAGAAGTTCAAACATCCAGATAACAATTAAGGTATGGTGTAAATTTCTAGAATTTTCTACCTCAGTTGGTCTCCAGGCAGGGATAGTGCCCACTGAAGAGTCCTGGAGAGGAGGAAAGAGAAGAAGAAGGGAAGGAAAAGTGTATGACAGAGGTGGAGGGGAAGAAAGGGAGAGGGTAAAGCTTCTCAACTGAAGTCTCTACTTCCCTGTTCTCTACCCTGAGAATTTTCTCTGTGGGGATGTAGAAGGTGTGGGTCCATCGGGGTTTTGATTGTGTAAGTAGACTCGTTCTTCTACATGTTCTGTGAGCTGTGCAGGGAGGACCTGGCTCCATTTCTCAGTAACTCAGTGACAGTTTTTTAAAAAAAAAATACTTGTGACCTAAATTCTTTTCTAATTAGTTTGAGACAGTTCAGCTTTAAGGTAACCAGTTTCACAAAACCAAAATTCACATTCAGCATTGAATTAAAACATAAAAAAATGTTTTGAAGTACTTTCTCTATAAAGTGAATAGAATTATTTTTCTTGATAATTTTTTTAAATAAGATCTAACAGTGCTAACTAAATGCTAATTTTTATGTAACTCTAAAGAGTTTTTATTTACATTTGTGAATCTCAAGGATTCTGTGATGAGGATGAGTGTCTTTATCACCTTCTTACAGATAAGAAAACTGAAGATTAGATTGGTCCATAGATTTTCTAGAATCTCACACTGAGGTGTTAGTGCTTGATTTCTGACTCTTGAGGCACTGCTCAGTCTTTTGTACTTCTTAGGAGGGTTTCTTGGAAGAAGAGCCTGAAAACAACTCAGGCTAGAAACTTATTAAATTGCCCACTCAGGAAAAATCTATATTGATGTGAGGGAAGCAAGATAGACCAGGGAAAGAAATTCATCCTCCAAGTGATTTATGGGGGAAGTCTGGTATCACCCTAACCTAAACTGAGCACTACAGTCCTAGTTGCACCCAAGCTGGCTCTCTTGATGCTGAGAGCAAGTCTTTCATGTTCCTACCCGCTCAGTTATTAGCCATGGGTTGCCTCACAGGGGATGGTTTGGAGATAAGGATACACCTAGGCACTAAAGTAAGTGGGGACTTCATCAGAAGGCTATTTACTATCACACTGCCTCTAACTATGTTAGTAGTTAGTGGATATATGTAATTCATTTTGAAGAAAGACCAAGGAAGACACTCATAAGGACATTTAAAAGGTCAAGAGGAATGGTAGTATTGTTATATCACTCTTTGTCTGGATAAAGACATTTACTTTAGTTGTATCTGTTGTTTTCAGATAGACTAATGGTAGGTAAACTGATCAATAAAATCTGTTGTTTTTCAGAAGTTCTTTTTGAAACACAAATCAACTAGATTATAACGAATATATGTATGGAAGGAAAACACATGAAGTTATAGCTTTTTCTTCTAACTTAGGCAAAGAGAGAACATTAATTTTTAAAAGTTTGTTATAAAATATACTATTGTTTTCAATAGTTTTCCTAATATCTTC